GAATAACTTCCATGCTAGTTATTTTTAGGGTGCAACATTATAAACATATATTAAGGTGTTAATATCGGCTCAGAATGAGCGCAATGTGATGGAACAGTCATTGAAATTACAGTTGTTAAAGAAAAATATTGCATGTAGAGGTTAATATGATTATGTGCTATAATGACTATGTGCATCTACATTTATGCACTATCAAAACCTGACTTTCTACTGAGATCTAAAATCTTTATTTTCCTTCATAAAAAAAAAAAAAATATCAGTGTAAAGCAGAACCACAACAAACAGAAATCAGAGCTGATATGCACAAAGTATCAGTGCTATATCAGGAAAATTAAAACTAAGAAGAAACTTTATCAAAAGAAATTAGATTAAATACAGGTATGAAAAAGCTAAAAAACTTTGTTCCCTTACAGTAAAAAGTTAGTCCAAGTAAAACATGAACACAAAGCAAAAAGTATCATGCTTCCTCTAGATTTGCCTTTAAACTGTTCAGTCGTTTTGTCCTTCATTTACCTTGTTCAGACATATCTGAGTATTTCCCCCTCAAATCACTCAAAAAAAAAAAAAAAATGAGGGAAATAATCCACATGTGCTTGTGTAGCTAAACTATGACGAATACTGACAGTACACTGTTTAAATGTGTCTTGCCACTGCAGACATAAATGTAGACAAGCTGCACAGTTCTTTAAGATGTCTTTTACCAATATAACTGCTTACTCCCTCATAGTTTTATAGTTTTTCTTACTTAAAAAGACTGACATTGAAAAGAATGTCGTAGTATGCAGTAAAAAAATAAGAAATCAGAAACTGTTCAAAATATTCTTTATTGCATGTTATGCTGCTCTAAGGATTTTCACATATGGGTTATATTCTGCTTGTCAAATTGGTCTGGCAATAAATTAAGTTTGTAACAGAAATGGAAGCTACCTAAACCAACATTCCTCAAACTTTTCTCTCTTCTGTTAGATTCTATTTCCTAGCATATTAGGAGAGGGTCCAGAGAAAGGCCACAAAAATGACCAGAGGGCTGGAGAACCTTTCCAGTGTGAAAGGCTGAGAGTTGGGGTTGTTCATTCTGGAGAAGAGAAGGTTCTGGAGAGACTTCATTGTGGCCTTTCAGTTCTTTAAAGGGACCTATAAGAAAGATGTGGAAAGACTTTTTAGCAGGGCCTCTTGCAATAGAATAGGTGGTAATGGTTTTAAACTAAAAGAGGGCAGATTCAGGCTGGATGTACAGAAAAAATTCTTCATAGAGTGGTAAAATATGGCAACAGGTTGCCCAGAGAAATGGTAGACGTGCCAACCCTGGAGACATTTAAGGCTAGGCTGGATGTGGTTCTGGGCAACCTGATCTAAATGAAGATGTCCCTGCTCATTCCAGGGGGGTTGGACTAGATGACCTTTGAAGGTCCCTTCACACTGCTCTGTAATTCTAGTATTCTATGTATATATTTACACTATTGATGCAGCTGCAGAATATTGCATATACATATAATCTATCTTTCCCTAAATCCATTGCATAGTCAGTGCTGAATTTTCAGACTGAAGCATTCCTCATCAGTTTCTATTCATCACCCATTCTTCCACGACCCTGTCAAGCCCCTTGCAACACACTCCCCATCTCCACTGGTTAATTCTGCATGTGTTTAGCCAGATGTGTGTTCAACACATCTTCTCCTTTCTTTCCTCATTCCCTCTTCCAAGTTTAAAACAAAGAACCAAAATATTATTATATAGGATATGCAGGATACTTTTTTAAACATCCTTTCCTGAATAGACAATTTTTCAAAGAAACAATCTACTTTGGTGCAAAATTACTGCTGGAAGAATACTATTTATTTTGTTTCAGTTAAAGTTGTTATTCTATGATGAATTGAATGATTTTTTTTTAAGTTTTAAGAAACACAGTTTCCTAGACTTCAAAGGCAGTTTGAGGTATTCAAATTATTCAGAAAAACAGACCTAACATATATATTGAAATGAAAGAATACTGTATTTTGAAATGGAAGAGTGTTTGGAAGAACAAGTCAATTCCACTGTTTTCATGTTGAGAAATTTCTGTGAAAGTGTGAACCCTTAAACACAATTACTATTAAAAGAAAGAGGGGAAAAAGCAATGCCATTGCCCCACTCTGGCCTCCAAGGAAGACTATCTGTAAAATAAGGGACAATATCTGTTGACCAGAGAAAATCCACATGCTCACTAGAGGTGTCTGCAATCTCAGCACCCGTTCAGATTAAATGCTGAATGAATTGTAATCATCAGACCACAACTAGGGAAAATTATAAAAATAAAAGTGTAGAAAAAAACAGAAGCAATGCTCTCTATTTGAGAATTAACATTTTCTCCAAAGGTCTGACAGATATCAGTAGTAGTACAATAACTAGGTCTGCTGGGAATACTCACTCATCTAGGAAGAGAGCTGGTCAGCTATGCTGTGGGATACTTTTGCTGATTCCAAGCTCAGTAGCTCATTCTTCTCCCTAAATTACTACTACACCTTTGGCATGAAGTACTCCATCTTGATGATGACAATGTTATGGTAACTTTCTTTCTTAAGCTATTTATTACATACAGAAGCTTAGCTGAAACCTTCAGTTATATGTGTTTCGATAATTGAGTAAAAAATCAGTTCTAAACATACCTCCTACTCACTGAGAGGAGATGTCATGTCAACCAGCACAGTACTTTCATGGTTATGTAGACTGAGTCCCTTGAGCTCCTTTGAGTGTTAGCACCCTTGGCTCCATTTCCTCCCCACCCCAGGGACTCCAATGCTTCTATTACTTTGTTAAACGGAATCCCTATATTGTTGATCCATTCTCGATGGTCTTTGTATTCATGTTGTTCCTGTGTCACATGTCACCTTTCCTGGACACCTCATTCTTACTCTTCTAATTTGAGCTTCTGTCACTTTGAAAATAACTTCAGAGGTTGCCAGAATATAAATTATTATACATATAGTTATGCAATCATAGCAAAACAGACTGGTATATGCTTCAGATTTTGTTTATATATCTCATTAGTAGGAATATGATGGCGAGTCAGTCCTGTTAGCACACCATCATTTTGTCTTCATCTAGTTAATAAAACCAAGTGTCTTCCTTGGTTTTCTATCTGGGTAGAATTCAACACTGTATTCTGTTTAGGATGCAAGGTCTTCCCTGGTAGCTGGATGAATTTTGTGAAGAAAGCAGGCACTCATTTCCTTGCATTAATTCAGTATCCTGCATGGCCGGAGGCACTCATGGGACTATGTGTGAAGGATAACTGGATAAATTTATTTGTCTATGGGAAACCTGAATACTTGCCTAATCAAAATTAATTGGCATTTTGAATAAGGAGTATGATGGTTAAGTCCATTTCCATTTATATTTAGTTTGAAGTTATTCTATGTAACATGATCTGAAAGTTTAGTGGTAAAAGATGTTCGCATAGACATGCAAAATTCAAAGATCAGCATTTGGCAGTTTTCTTCAGTGGTATTCTACTAATATATACCACTTAACTACTGTTAAGTGAGCTTAATCTGATGAGGCATGTATCACTCATGTAATTTCATTTAAGTGTTTTAAAAGTCATGGCAAGAGACTTTATATCTATGATTGAACTACCAGTTTTAACACATTTTTAATGTGCATAAAGGACAGTTAAAATTTACAATGACCTTAAAATTTAATTAGCCATAGTTGAGAAAACTGGATTTGGCTGCAAAGACAGCATTTTAAATGTTCTGCCAAAGTTAAGAAGTATGTAAAATGAGGTTGATTGTGTCATGCAAGGTTTTTTTTTCTCGATATTCTCAGTATATTCTGTGTCTACCTTGGATAACATGCACACTCAAGCTTCATTTTAACAATGCTGTTGGTTTATTCAGAATCCAAAAATTTTACTGTAAGTGCTATTATTTGCAGCACAAACACACACTAACTTATCTTTAGACAACTGAGATTGGATTTAAGGATTGGATCAGGTCTTTCTCTGTGTATTTTACAGTGTGTTCTGTAATTTCAACAAAATCAATAAACACCTCTGTAGGAGTTTATAGTATCAGCAAAATTATTGCATTATATCAATGGCATATACCATTTTTAAAATCGTAATTTATTTTAAAATATGTAATCAAAATTAATTTTAATTTACCATTGTGGATAAGCTGCTAAAAAATTTGATGGAATACATGTATTTGGTTTAGCAGTATTTTCAAAAGGAAGAATCAATAGCCTCTGTAGCCCCTCTTGAAGTAACACGTTTCCCTATATGGTAATAATAATGCTAACAAATATGAGGGCATAAGCAGCTTTTATGTATGGTGGGTTTGTTTAGTTTTTGGGGGGTTTTTTGTTTGGTTTTTTTTTGTTTGTTTTGTTCCTGTACTTGTAGCACACGGCAGAGCTGCTGAAGAGTAAAAATAAATGTTGTCATATTCATACAAGTATAGAAATGAAAACTGAAACCTTAAAATATATTAAAAATAATGTGTTGCATAGAAAAACCAAGAAAAGACTAATGAGTTAAATGTGATTATTGTATTTAACTGATGTATTCTCTTAACTCAGATTGACATAATTTTTCAAAGAAATGTTAGTTTCATCATCATGTCATTTTCACCATCAGTGAGTAGACACTGACCTCCTCTACTTTGTCCAAGGCAGACAGACACCGTGTTGTTTAATTCTTTAAGAAAAACGTGTTACCTTCATAATACTGCAGTGAAGCCAGACTGGCTTTGCGTGCAAGAAGCTCTGGATGTGATAACATTTTGATCTGTGTTATATAATTGAATATATTTGCTATAGTAATGAAACCATTATACTGAAAGATACTGCTTTAATTAAATCTCAAACTCCTCTTTTCTTCTTGGTTCATTAAGTACATTCTGAACCTTAATAATTACAATCTAAGAATAAAAGTTTGGCTGTTTGGTTTTATTTTTCTTCTCCCTTTATTTCTTCTTTTTAATCCTTTGATTGTTTTTCATCCAGGCCTTTGTTGGCAGATTCATCTGACATTACATTATATGATGCTGAAGAATCATGTCAGAGAGGTCTTGTTTATATGTATACATTACTGTACATAACATACAGGCAAGGGTAAAAACATCTAGTGGTGTATAATGTAGATCACCACTGGAAAGCAGGCTTTTCTTCACCTCAGCTGCTTTTAACTGAAAGCAGATGCTACAGAACAGAAGATGAATATAAGAAGCAGCGATTTCAGTACAGTCAGGTTGTTGAGCAGGGTTCTTGCATCAAGGACTGTGGGACTTCTTGGGGACTGTGACACAAAGTATTCATTTTATCTTAATGACTTTTGTATTTTCAGAAAGTTTTATAGTTAGGGATATGTTGCATTTATTCAGTAAATTCTCTACTTCATATGTGTAAAACAGTGAAGAATGTCATGCAGTATAAATGATTTAGTGCATGCAATCTCAAAAAAAAATGCATGAACAGTCCCAGAATAATGGAAAAAAAAAAGGACAAGAGTTATTGAGTATTCTAACCATGCTGTAGTTTGATCCTGCATTGATAGAATAAGCTGCTATTGCCACTGGTAAATGGAATATGTAGAATAAAAAATTAAAAAAACCCACAAAACCTACCAAACAAAAAACAGAAGAGAAGATGTACATTTTTACTTTTGCAAGATGTTTCTAAATCCTAGGATCAAAAAAAAGTGTTTGGGATATTTGCATTTAAAACTCAGAAGTTTTGTTTAGTCTGATTAATCTGATGAGTATTTTGATAGATTTGGTTGTTTTTAAAGGACCAAACAGTAATAAAATAGCTCCTTCTTACTGAGCATAGTTAGTGGTAGGCTGATGTTCTGTGCTTTCAGCATCTTGACCATGAGGAACTTTCGTAACAAGAAATTTATCATACACCTATGGCCAGTAAGTCCAAAGACAACTGGAAATTGGAAGAAGACTCTCTTCAACACTGTAATGAAGTGTAATGACAAACTTTTTGCTGAGATTAGACTATATTATTCTCTCAAATTCAATAAAATATATGTTAAAATTTAGTCTTAAATAGGGAATCCAATAGTAGCTTGTTGCTCTTTATGTAATATATTAGAATGCAATATTTAAAATCTGACACTTTAAGAATGAAAAGATTGAATTCAAGGAAAAATAGGGAACAACTCTTTTTTGTTTTATTAATAAAGAAAATGATGTAGTTTTGTGAGATATTTCAATCTAGATGTCTAAAGAAGCTTAGTTTCAAGATAGGAAGCAGACAGAGAGAACAATTTGTGGAATACAGGCCTGCCCAATACATATGAAAAAGAAATATTTTTTTATGGACAATAGGTATACTGGAAATAAATTGGCAAAAGCATGTGTCTGATGAACCCTGTGATCTATGTTTCAGAGCAGCACCCAGTGTTTTAAGCTATAATTTAAAGCGACGAGAGAAACTGAACTTGACTTTGAGTGTGATTAGTTGTGCAATACCTTATACTATGATGATTAAAATAACAATGTGTATTTAAATTTATGTTGTCACTTTCATTTCTGTCAAGTAAAGTCTTTGATTTAAAAATATATGGAGACACAGTCTTCAAAGGAAAATACATAAACAAAGCACTCTTGCCCTTCTGTGTACTCTTTCAATACTTTCTGTGAATATAAATCATATGGACGAGTTTGTTCTCTCTTTAGGCAGGGTTTTTCATAATGCATCTCCACTGGGACTATGTATGTGTATAGCAGTTTTCTTAGAGAAGATGGAAGGTGAAAATATCTTGGCAGATTGTTTAATATTTACTCAGAAAACCTGCCCAGATCCAGTCCTCAGTTTTGTAGTATATTCCGTGCATGGTCTTTGCTTTATCTGATATACAATTTTGCAGGGGAGTACATATATATACATATACATAATGTCAATGACACGTGAATACTTGTTATATTTAATGAAATAATTATACACATGATAGGAAGAAATGTTTTTCTCCACTTCCCTTATGTGTTCTATTTTCCAGTTTTCCACTATTCATTCTTTATAATACAGACTGTAACTTGATAGAATTGAATGAATAAGAAAATTTATCTGAATTTAGAGGGAGGTTTGGGGGATTGATTTTTGAAGGGGTTTTTGAGTGTGGGTGCCTCTTTCTGTGATCTTTCTAATTCACACACAACCTGGATTAGGCCAAAATAATCTACTTCAATAAACCCACGTAAATGCAATTAGATTAACATGAATGCCTCTAAATTACATTATTAGATTACATGTGCAAAGTAAACCATGGCAACAGAGGAAGAAAGAAGAAAGAACAACAGCACAAGGGAAAAGAATGGTAATTTCTGTTTTTTTCTCCCAGAGAAAACGTCCCTTAATGTGTTTGAGAAAACTGTCTGGTAACTCTGACATCTTTAGCTATGTACATAGTTTGATTGCAATCTGAACTGTTTTATCCTTTTCATTCTTACACTATATGCAGAAACTAAATTTGTAAGTCAGATGCAGGTGACATTAGAAAGTAAATCAAAATGTCTAATTAGAATTTCAGGAAAATTCTATGGAATACAAGCCAGGTCCTTGGCTCAGTTTGGTTTCCACGTTTTAAAAAGTCAGGCTAAAAGGTTCTCCAATCATTTCTGGAGGAACAGAAAAAGCTCCATTTTAGCATGCAAAGAATTGTGTGTGTGCGGTTTTCTTTGTTTCTTTTTGCTAGAGACACAAACAGACCAAAATAGTTACATATCTCCTTAGTAAAATGTTAGAGACACACTCCCCTGTTCAAGGTCTTCTCAAATTAAACAAATAACATCCCTGATCTCCATGTGAATGAAGAAATTATTAAAGATGAAACTCATTATGGTTCTAATAATATGTCCTTAAATTTAGCATGTCACCTGTCTATCATCTATGGTTAAAGAGGATGCAAACAGAGGTAAGTGAATGTCACTATACTTTGTGCTGGTGTCTAGACAAAACCTTTCCTGGGGTTAATGTCTGGAACTGCACAAACTTCTTCATGCTTTTTCAAACAGATTCCTTGAGGCCCTTAACATTGAAATGCCATAGCTTCCTATTATTATTAATCCTTTCTGGACTTCAGAAGTTATTTAGACATTTAGGAAAGCCAGCAAGAAAGGAATGGCATCAGTCATTTCTTGTCTCAAAATAGAGTTGTAGAAGGAACAACTTACTCCCAGCTTTTACATGACTGTCACAGCGCGATAGCTTACTGTACAATGTAGACCAAATTTTATCTGCCCTACATTCTTTTCTATATGGGAAGTTTCAACTATTTCAGGATGAAACAGATACAACCTTCATCCATTTTGTAGAAACTAGGCTGTTTTGCCAGAAATAGACTAAGGACAGTTTGAGTTTAAGAGATAGCATAGGCTATGAGCAGAGTCCAGTCCTTACAGCGCTGTTTTTGAGAAGGTGCACACACCTGATTTCATTTTCAATGTTAAAACCATTTCTCTCAAAGAAGTTGAAGCCTTTCATGCTTTTTGAGAATAGTGTTCTCAATTCTTATAATTCCTTCCCCAAAACATTGGCATTTTATTAGTTTCTACAAAACCAGATATTTTTCACAATAAGGGCAGATTTCAATTATAAAGTACGAACATCCAAATTTAGATGTCTTAGAAAGAGTTGTAGCCAACATAGTATGCTGTAGCCAACGGAAAACAGTGAGCAGCATGGAAGAACTCTGTCTTATCTGAACACATGAACAACTGTCTAGACAAGATTAACTATATTAATTAACATTCTAACATTTACAGTGGGAGCTGGCGTCTGGACACTTGTATTTACATGCCTACAGCCTGAAGCTTTGAATACAATTGTGGAAGAAATGGAAAAAATTGACTAAAAAGTCCATTTCAGATGTTCCTGAAATATATGTTTTTGAGTCCTGATAGATAGAAAAGGAGACTTACCTTTGGTCTTCCTTATTTGAGAAGTGATCTGATTATGATTTTTTTGTAAACGGGCATAAAAATGGAAGATCTTTCTGCTCAGTGCAAATTTTTCTTGACTTTCAGAAATACCGATTTTTAATAAGAAAGCTGGGGGCTGATGTAACATATTCCTGTCCTCCAATCTTTTGCTTCAGCTCTGAATACAAAGCTAAGTAAACATACCAATTTTCCTCAATGACTTTTTTTTAGACTTGTAGATTTTTTGTTTAAATTTCTTTCCGAAATCATAAAACCTGAAATTCCATTCATGATGTAGTTTAAAAGTCGAATTAAAAGTTTTAACTATCTTTTAAATTTCTTTGGCTTGGCTAGATTAGAATTTACTGTCTTTGACAATCAAGCTTTAAAATAAACTAATTAATTTATTTGGATTTGGATTGTACATAGTTATATTCTGCAACTAAGTACTTTATGGCCAAAGATAAATCTTGATCTTAAAGAAATGAGTAAGTTCCATGGTTTTCTTTCAGAGAAAATAAAGCAGAAACTCTAGCCTAAATTTTCTCTTACTCTGTGGAAAGAGTAGTGCAGCCTCTGATTTTTTTATTTTTTCCCTCATTGCAAATCTCTTTCACACCTCCCGTATTTTATTCTTAAAGCTTGTACCCTCTCTGGCATCTTGGCTTTCCCACAACACAGAGATTAATTCATTACAGGGGAAAAAAAATATTCTTTTACATAAGTGTTGTGGTTAGCACAAGGGTACCTTGCCTACACCTGATGACTCATCCTATCTGCATCACCATACAGTCTTCAGAGGGCACATTCAAGACAGAAATGGGGATATTGCAGAATCAGGACTGTGGAGAATGGTGTTTGGTGTCTAAAACTGGACTTCATTGAAGTCAGATAATTTTCTGATGGCCTAAATCAGACGCTATTGAATAAAACAGTCTTTCCATGAGTTTCAAAGAGTTTCAATACAGTTTTCTATGGACTAGGAGGTGGTGAATGTGTTTTATCTTCTGTTTAGGAGTTTCATGCTTTAAAACCCAAAAAATTGTAGTGGCAAAGTAAATAATTGTAGTGTTTTCTTCAGACATTCATACATTAATTTGCAAAGCTCACTTTCGTAAAATGACAAAGTACAATAAAGCTGTGTCTCCACATCAGCAATGTGATGACCATCCAGTACAGAAAGATCAAGGTTGACATTTGAACAGTGACTTCATATTCTTCATCTTGATATTATAATTACAAAAGAACAATACAACATCAGTATTCATAATGCATTATGTTCACTTATTAAAGAGTGTTCGGTTGAATGAAATACTACTTTAGAATCTCATTTTAGAATCTCATCTTCTATAAGTCTGAACAGATCACTTGAGTGGAAGTGAAGTTTGTTCTGGTTTATAAATTGTGGTATCCTGTTGTCACTTTCATTTTAGAAAGTCAGTATTGTGAATTTCAGTGAAATGCAACCCCTCGCCAGCCCCAGTACCCTGTACCGGGAGACTTGTGGAAGACATTGTATTCAACATGCTGGACTAGCCATATCTGCCCTTCTGATGTTTCTATTTAGGTCTTGAGAAACCCACATGCGATTAATATGAACTGCAACTTGCAACACCTTTGGGAAATGTAACCTGTAGAAAGAAGTGGAACACATTAATCCTGCCTGGGAATCTGTTGCACATTTAGGTGCTATTGACCCACA